CGTTTCACGCAACGTACACGCATTCGCAAATCAGTCATACGCGACTAGTTGAACCAAAAGATAAAGTTGGTTCAACTAGTCGCGTATGACTGATTTGCGAATGCGTGTACGTTGCGTGAAACGTCATCCTGCATGCGCGTCTGCGTCCTGCGTTTTGCGTATTGCGTCCTATGTAGACGGGCCTTAAAGGTCTATCTACATAAGACGCAGGACGCGGGTCGCAAGTCGCAGAACGCGGAACGCAAGTCGCAGGTCGTAAGACTTTTGCGTCTATATAATCCACATAGATACGCAGCGAGCTCTCTGCGTCAAAAGAAAAATGAATAAAATGTCAATCAGAACATAAATGTCATAACTTCTCTTAATTTTTTTTAACTTTATAAATTAAATCCCGCGTTGCCGCGGAATCCCAATTATATACCATTTAAAAAAAAACTTAATTTCTAGCCTCGACGAGATCCTACGATATACGAGAATATTTGACAGTTGCCGCGATATGACAAGATATGTTCTGATTGGCTGGTCGCTTCGACGCAGGACGCGAAAGTTGAAATTCGCCCAACTTCTGTGCGTCCTGCGTATTGAAGCCTGCGGCTTGTTGCGGCCGGAACTACGTCACGCTGCGTCTAATCTTGCGACTTGCGACCCGCGTCCTGCGTCTTATGTAGATAGACCTTAATACCTCGGAACGTGACTGTTTGACTCGAGAATCGAAACGACAGTGTCCGCTAACGATTAGACGTGCGCCGATCGAGCTGTACGTCTTTGTTCTCCGAAAACAAGAGAGGGCATGTGACGCGGAGCAATATGATTTGCCGCGGCCAAAAACGAGGTTGACGACCTGTCGGTCCGGTACCGCGCGCGCCGAACGCTTTACCGCAGCGAGCACCGATCAGCTGATCGGCACGTGCTCTACCCGTCCCGCGACTCGCGTTAGCGACCCGATCCGCTAGCTCGATCTCGAACAATATTCAAGCAAGATAGGCGAAAAAATATAAATCCTTAAAAAGTAATTCAGTCTTAATAAAGTTTCGGATTGCAGGAGAGAAGCTTCGTAATAAGAAAAACGTTTTAAAATAGTGTAGGACAGTGTAGGACTTTGGCAACCAATAGCGCTTATTTATATTATATATATGATATGGCCAACTAGAACTTTCGCTCTCATCTCGTAGAGGGCAAGTCGACAGTTACATATTGTCGATCATACACATAAGACGTACCTACATATTACACAGACGAGCGGATTCCTCTTCGGTAAAATAACCAAATTGATAATAATTATTCGACTACTTTGCATAATATATTAATGAACACATCAATTACCATGTTGCACATTTCTTTATATCTTTCAACATTTGATATTACTTGGCATTATTTTTCAAACATAAATCGACATATGGACTTGCAATCCGACAAAGGCGTAAGAATCCTAAATTCCAGGAGGATTACATCTTCAATGTATTATAACTGGTACCAAAGGTGAAGGTTTCAACTCATATTTGAGTCATCATTGGCGCTAATAATACAATTTTAATTGTTAGGCCACAGGCCAGGTGAGCTTTCAGATTCGTCAGTCTAAAGCTAAGGTGACCACAAATTCCTAACTTAACGGTGGAAACCGAGAGGCTCGCATACAACAAAAACATTGATACTAATAATAACTGAAAATTTGAGTTGAAACATTCACTTTCGGTACCAGTTATAATACATTGAAGATGTAATTCTCCTGGAATTTAGGGTTCTTATGCCACTTTGTCAGATTGCACTCCATATGTCACGGCTAATAGACGTATCTGTTAATATTCAAGTAATGTAACCGAAGAAAACATACTTTCTTCAAAAGTATAAAAATCTTATAAGTCTTAATATAATTTAAAAAATTCAACCTTTAAATTGCAAACAGAAGTGTTACAGTAAGAAAAGTCACTTTCAACTAATAGTTATGGCCAATTAAAAATAAAAGCTTTGTCTTCCGCAGGTCAAGTTGATTTCATATCTTGTCTGCTGTACACGCAAGACGTATTATAGAGACGTATTATAGAGACAAGCGGACTCCTGACCGGTAAGATAACCGAATCGCTAGTAATAAACATTGGACTACTTTAGATTTGTATAAAATATTAATAAACATATCAATTATCATATTGTACATTTCTTTGTGTCTCACATCTTGGTATTATTTGGCATTACTTTGCAAAAATGCCAGAAGGATTACACCTTCAATATTGCACATGGTACTCTAAAAGCGAAGACTTCCAGCTCAAATTTAAGTCATTATCAGCGCCAATATTACGATTTCAATTCGTAGACCACACGATGAGTTTTCAGATTCGTCAGCCTAAAGCTAAGGTGACTACAAAATCTCACCTGAGCGGTCACAAACAAGTAGTCCGCATACAACAAAAACATTGGCGTTAATAATAACTAATATTTAAGTTGAAACGATCACTTTTGGTATCAGTTATATTAAAATTGTAATTCTTCTGTAACTTGGATTAAACAACTCACGCACCAATAACCGTAATTACTCTCACTGCCATTTTTTTGTAAGTTTACATAATTGAGAGCAGTATATTTTAACTTGTGAACAAGCACTAATATTAAGTAAAATAAATTATTGATTTTTTAATTTTGTTATCGGAATCCCACCTTCCACTTGTATCAATGTAATGAGTTTCAGGTGTCGCAACACTAATTCGGAATCAAATAAAAATTACGTTGTGTTCAATTAAATTACCTAGAAGAAAGAAGGAACTACCTCACATTAAAAAAATGTTACAGTATATTGCATTGTTGCTCACCATGATGTTTGCGATATTCGTAGCCAAATTATTCGTAGGTAAGATAACTCATGTCACTTATTCACTTTTGATGTATTAATAAATATACATTGTTAATAAAATTATTAAATAACATTTATGGCATTTATTTACTTAAATATAATGTAAATAGAACGTTATTAATTCATATACTACTTTTTTGATGCTTCAGAAACTTTTATGATGAATATTGAAATACAAAATAGGAGAATCGATATAAATTTACACCTCCAACATAACAGTATTTTGAGTTGGGTAATTTACATTTTACTAATATTCATGGTGGCGGCAATAGTAATATGCAATATAATAATATTAGTGGTGGTACCACTGATGCTATGTTTAACTATATTCTATTGCATTTATATTATAGGGTAAGCTGAATTTTTTAACACATATTTACTATATAGTAATTTCATAGTTAATTCATATATAATTAATTTATAATTACGTGACATGGTTATTATAAAAAATAAAAAGAACATTGTAATAATTTTAGAATTCAATTATACACAATAATATTATTTATCTTGACATGTATTGATGTCCACGATGTCTTAAAATTTTAATATACACGTATGTATAAATTTAATTTAATTATTTTGTTTATGATTTGATATTATGAATTATTTGAAGTTTATTCGTATTCTGTTATTAACAATTCATTTTTTACAGTGACCACATGTTTTACGTAAAGGCTGAATTTCTTTCGGTATTCTTAACTCATTAATCTAATAATCTTAAAAACAATATTGTAATGACAACTTGCATAGTAAATTCCAAATTAGCAACGCAGTTATTAATAAAATGTTTATTATTTGCATGCAAGTGGACATATATTACAGAATATCATAGACTTTAATGAACAATTTGTGACAAATTAATTATCATTAAATTTAGTTGGAGAACCATATAATAATAAAACAAAAATTGTTAAATCAATAGTTTTGTTCAAATTTTCGTCAATATTAACAAACTATGTCTATGCAACTGCATCAAAACTTATATAAATATTTTTTTATTATATTAAATCGTATTTTAACTATTTATAAATAAATTTTTGTTGGTTGCATATAATAATTAGTGGTGCGTAGATTCAATGTTTCTAAAGCTAAAAACTTGGAGTTGTGGAAAGGCACGCACATTAAAAGAAAATGTAAAATGTAAACTATAATATAAGTACAATGTAAAATATAAAGAATGAACAATTTAAAATTAAATTAACTCATTCTTTATATTATAAAATATATTTAGAGTAATGTTTCTAAATAAAACTATTATAGCTTATTGACGATACTATTGTTTTTAAATAAAAAAATATTGTAGTTTATTGACGATATTAATGCAAATATGTAATGCGCTTTTCTTTATTCTGTGTTACAATAATAGATTTGAAATTATATGCGTTCACACGTTTCGCGTTTGTATTGTGTTTATGATGTGAATATAAGTATTAACGAATATACATCTGCATATTAAAAAATAAAAGTCTGTCTGTGTCTTTATGTTTTTTATACAATTCTACACCCATGGTCCGATTAGGATCAAATTTGACAAAATTATTCTATAGAATTTTGCATAAAATATAAGCTATCTTTTAACTTGGAAGTCGAACTTTTGCCCCCTAAAATCAATACTTTATATCTAAAAGTATATTCTTATTAAATGAAATGAAATTCCTTCAAATTTTTTCATCATCTTAAATAAATCTTTGGTTTATTACAGTTTTATCGCCCTTTCGCATCACAAAGATTTGAAATGAGTAGAATTTAAAATAAATTATGGCAATTCCGCCATCATAAATACGAGCAATAAAAATATGTTTATACGTCTGCAGTTAACAACTTTTCCTTTGTACTTCCCATATTGTCCAGTGAGCTCCACCGAGAGGCAATTCGCCCGCAAAAACATACCCCGCAGTAAATCTCAGAATTACATCGCGCGCGATAAAATCAAGCGTGTCACCCTGTACACAAGCTTGGGTCTGCGAGCGCGCGTTTCGCGCACGGTCGCCGGGAAGTTACGATAACGTTTGCCTGGGCATTAAAAACGAAGTAGGAAAGAACACGGCGACGTAAACGGGGGAGGGGAAAACGAGATAAAGGTGGGAAAAAGGACGACGTACGGGAGGGTGCGATGAGAAAAGTGAAGCGGGTTTCTCGCGGAGAAACTTGAAAAATGCGGCGAAGGCAAAGGATCTCTTTCAGCCTGGTACGTGCCACGCTCGCCTTTCTAAAGAGGAGAAATCACTCGTGCGCGCACAACCGCGATCCAAATTCCTATTAATCAGATTGGGTAACACGATATCACGATGGCTGTCCGCGACGGGTGAAAACGAGGTAAAAAGGTTTCCCTTTATTGGCAGTGAAGTTAAATCGAGAAGTCGCTTGATTGCGGCGGAAACGCACCTTCCGTACGTCGATTGGAAAATTTTCAGCGACTGTTTATAAACCAATGTAGAAAATTGCTAGACGACACTTGGCTGGTAAATTCTAATTAAAGAAATTTATTGCGAAAAATATTACCACAGCAAACGGTTTGCTGTCGCGCCTAATGCAATAGGCACAGTAGCAAAATATTTAGCTATCACAACTAAATGTTAGCTGTCCATATTTTACAACTGAACTTTAGTCGCCACATGCAGTTTTTAGCTACATTTTTCGTTTCGTGAATTCCCGTAAATAACGATTTTTTTTTATTTCTTCGTGTTTTACCGGAACGTTATGATTACTCTTTTAAACTTAGTTTGAAACGCAATAGAATCTAACTTCTCCCCATCTCGGGAATGCAGAAACGCCAAAATGCTTTTCCCGACAATGAATCCGGAAACTCTTCCCCGACGCTTTTTGACGCATCAATTTTCGAAGTTACGCGTGGATCGAACTTCTGCAGAAATACGCCGGAATTTCGGATTGTACGAAGCGACGCGACGGATAATGGCCGAAGAAAGTATTACACCTCGCCAGTCGTCGTTCTCCGACCTCAATTTTCTCTTATCCGCGGTTTCGGCAGTTTATTGAAAAAGCTGAGTGCGAGTGCAGCGTCAAAGTTCGCAATCCGCTCGACGGCGTCTAACCGAAGCGACAAATCGGACGCCGAATCTCATCTCAGATCCGTTCTCCGTTTCATAGAAAATCTTGGAGCACCTGTCATTTCTAATATTAAATAAAACACGAGGGCTATAATTTGTGATATAACAACTGCAGTATAAGAAAGTTTCGCCTCATGTAATGTTTCTATTATATGAACCTAGTACAGCTGCTTCTCGAACTCTTTTTATTGGTTCACATATGATATGATATTAAGTATCACTTTGTAAGAGTCGATAGCAACTAAGCTGTAATTTATGCCATTATTTAACAAAAACTACTCCAAATTGTATATAACGTCTAAAAACATGACGAGTAGAATTTGTTTATTTAACAATTATAATTAAAACGTTACCTATTTACGTTGTACGCTGTTATTATCGAAAATTAACGGAGTACTTAATCGCAAACGACAAATAAATGAATTGTTATAATAAATAAGCAATACATATTTACACGTAACACGAGAGATAATCAGATAATGTTTGCATAAGGCTAATATTTCAAACTTTCCAAGAAATCAAATTTTACAGTACACTGTGAAATATCTGATAGACCTATTTATTTCGAATTATCAACCCTTTAATTATATTGGATATGAGCGATACAATATAAAGTGAATTTAATTAATAGATCTAAAAAGATATTAGTAGAGGAAAATCCCTTATTTACGAGATAGGCTTCTAATATAAGATAGCAGGTTTTCAACATCCAGTAATTTCACAAATCTTTTTCGCAACAATTACACGCACGATCTATGTGTTCTCCACTAAACAGATTTCACTCCAGGGTCGATAAATTTATGAAGGAACCAACAGATGATGTTTATTAATGTAGCAGAAACCTCGCTGTGTCGTATTAGGAGTTTGTCTCATAATAGGGGATTCTCCTGGACCATTTACACGTAACGCAGGCACTTGTTAACGACAATTAGTCTGTTAGGGTGACGTACGGATTATATGTCTGATCAAATTGAGACGCTTTAACACATCAACGCTGTTAATGTGTTCCCATCTCGTTTCCATATCACACATCTAAAAGATGATTGCACACAAAAAAGAAATAACAGCCTTACTTTCGTTAGTAGAGTCCCCTATTGCAAGAGAAGCTCCTAATATGATACAGCAGGGATTCTGCTAAATAATTAGGCATCGTCTATTGGTTTTATCGTGAACTTATTGCCCTTGTAGTGAAATCTGCTTAGTGAAAAATTCATTGTTAGATCGTGTAATCGTTGTGAATAAAGATTTGTGATTAAATTTTCACGTTAAAAACCTGCTATCTCATATTAGAAGCCTATCGCATAAGAGGACTTTCCTCTAATTATAAAAAGTTAAAACTCGATGAGTTGAAAAAGACAATTGAAATACGAGTGACGGAATGGAATTGCAGAAATAGACAGGCGACGAATAAAAGTCTAGACCATGTATCTACCGTGTGGAAGAATGACTTTTCGGAAATAGGACGATAAATAAATATTCCAACGAGAATTACGACAGGAATGTAAATGCCGATCGTCGTATGCGACCTGAAAAAATATACTCACGATATGCCAGCGCGGGGATGTCGCGGCTTACGATGCAGAAAGCGCACCATAATACGTCAAATTAGTCGTAAAGCAAGACGTGTCGGCGAGGTTTATTCGCGAGCCTTTGTGGGATTAGCGTGTGAGGTCCAGAAAGCCGGAAGTCGTGGAGAGCGAAAAAAGATGTTCGCGCAACGCCGTGTTCAGCGCGTTAGCGAAAGCGCCATAACAAATTCACATGCAGAATAAATTATACCGAACTTTGTATACACGTTATATCCGTGTTATATCCGTGTTATATTCAACGAAGCTTTCGCCTCTCCCTTCCGCCTTATATCCTTTGACAAGCAAGAAGGTACGTTCACACGTTCAAAAGTCTACAAGTTTAAACACTGAAGCCTTAATTCATTTTAAATGATTCTCTTCATTAAGTTAAATTGTCAATTCGTTTTGGATTACTTTAATCTTCAACGACTTGTCGAGCGAACGCGAGAGAAATGTATGAATTTATCGTTTATCAATTACTTACTTAACTTTGAGTACTTAATTTTGATTTACTTTCAGTTTAACGACAGTTGGATCAACCGTCAGTTTATCACTGAGAAAAATGATCTTGCAACTGCAGCAACAATTTTCTAGGTACGAAAAAATAACCGAGATACATAAATGAACAGCCAATACTGCGAAATCGAATATGTTTTGTATTTAATCGATTTGAATGACAGAAACGGAATTGCTATCTCAACTGTTAGCAAATGTTAGGAAGAAAGTCTTTCTATGGCGCCTATTCGTTATAACGTTTGATTGTGGTAGACCGGTGTCCACGATGCTAGAACTTGGTCCAAGTTCCGAGAAATGTGTAGCCAATCAACTTGCAGCTATTTCGTAAAAGCTGCAAGTTGATTGGCTACACATTTTACAAAACTAGAACGTGGAAAACCAAGTTCTAGCATCGTGGACACAGGCCCTCACAAAAATTGTTCTAGCTATGGTACCGGAATTCATTTTGATCCAAAGTGACTGATCAATATTTAATCATGAAACCTAAACTTTCCAGATGGTATTGCCAGAATGTTGCTGCTATAAATTTTGTAGGCTACAAACAATATTCTAACAGATACCAAAACTAGCGATAAATTTTTGTCGCAATTGCTAGAAATCTACCTGCGTTAGTAAGATATTTTTTTGAGTGATATAAGATGTCAATAGCTATCTACTTTGAATTGCCACCGTTGGCAACATGCTTATAATCATGATATTTTGGCGTTTACGGAAACCTAATTTCCCTCAAGAGTTATTTAAGATTGTAATAGATTACGTGTACAATTAATTCACCAACACAGATAAATTTTAGAATTATCCTCGATCTGTATTGATTTAGCGAGGAAATTAGATGCGACTGTC